TAACATCGAAAGATGCCAAATACTGCCACATCAGGAATCAATACATATTAAGTTTTCCACGAATAAGTGCGTGGTGAGCTATTTACTTGAGTACTTTTGAACTTGTTGCCCCAAAATGGGACTCTGGTCCTTCCCGGGCAATTCGCGAAGTCTCATATGCCACCAAATACCACACCTGAGTCCTTAGAAAATTCTACAACGCTTCCTTAAATTGAGTAGGAAGCCTTAAAATAACCACTACTCTGTGTGGAGTTTCAAGCTTCGGTCAGACTGGTTAACGCAAGACACGCACTTACTTGTTATGAATGGCCAAATGCTGCATCTCACAAACATCCACAACAGTACACGTCCTGTTTCCGGCAATGAGAAAAGCGATCCTGCCCTTTGGGCAACACGAACTCTGAACTGTCGCAGCATTTGAAGACCAACAAATATTTAAAATTGTGCTCTGTCTACGACATCCAAAACTCTACAGCTGACTAGACACTTAATGTACCAAGGCTACTAATTTTAATCAGCCCCTCGTTCAGCTGCATTTGTGCTTGGTACGTATTCGCGTGTGGGTACGTAAGGTCTTGCCAGGGCCAACAGAGTTCATTTTCCTGAGCCTTTGAATGCATTTGTATGCTGGAACATGACACGGGCCAGTCGCTCCGGCTGAGCCGTTAGTCCTCTAAGTTGCTGCTTTTCAACCAAAATCTGCCGGCGAGACTTTCGGGATCTTATGGCCCAATGAGACCATTTGCTCCCTCGCTCTTCTTTGAACGTTAGAATCATCGTCATCGCGTAACGCTAGCACTAGGTTCTGCTATTGAAATGATACAACGCACAATGTTACCTTGTCGATTCTTTTGCATTTTCCGAAATGAACGATATGTACCACGTCATCCTTTTTATTGAAGATTAGATTATAGTTCACTTACAACTAATTACCCTTAAGGAGTAACGAAGCAATTTGTGACCTTCCGTCTAACTTCATTGTGCTGCAGATTCAGGTGTTTTGAATTTACTGGCTATTTTTTTCGTTTGTTGCACATAATATTAATAAATAGTTATATTGGCCATATAACTAATTGGTATTCAATGTTCTTCGAATTTCAGCAGGTAGCGTTCAGAAGAAATCGCGTTTTCGCAATGTGGTTTCTCGTCGCAGACCGAAGTTGGTCTTACGCATCTACAATATATGCTGTATGTAAAAGCGTTCATCTAAAGGCCGCCTTAGGGTGTCAATCAGTGTTCACAGTTTATAAATTTTTCGGCTCTATTTAATTAGCTTATTAATATTTGGCATAGTAAACGTAAAACGCAAAGGGTGAGCACATGTAGAAAAGTCAAGGATTTATACTTCAAGAATATACTGCGCCCTCTTTCTATCCTCATTGAGGACCTCAAGTCATATCTAGTTTGTGTTTGAGGATTAAGGAGTCGATTATTACAAGTATTCATTGTTTTTGTGTTCGTTCTTCCTTCATTATTGACACAAATTATGATAGTTACTTGGTTTTATGGTTTGCGGTCAATGAAAATGACCTTTTCCCGGACGGGCGTCAATACGTTTCTTTGATAAAGATAGACATATTGTCAAGCGCCAGCGGCTTTGCACAATTCTAAAGAATGAAATTATTTTTCAAACGGTATTAACTAGTCAGACGTTGACAGAAACAATGACTATTGCTAGTATGCTTTAGATACCGGATTTACACAAATGCATAAACCGCACAAGTGATTAACTACACAGTAAATATTCCCCCCCCACGATCGTCTGAACTAATAACTTAATTAGACATGAGCTTTTAGCTGCGGTAAGTTAAGAGAGACCAACAAACTTTCGCTGATCAAAAAAGGATAGGCACGGGTCAAGATATGCACTAGGAGTGAATTGGCATGCCGCCCGATAATTTCTAGTTGCGAACTGCGGAACAGGTCCACACAGCGTGACCTTTTGTCAGCTAGTAAACTTCTATTGAATTGTTAAACGCAAAAGTTCACTGATAAATAGAAATCAGTTTATGTGAGAGCACGACGAGAGCTATTTTTGAATCGCTTACAAGGAGCACATCGAGACAATCGAAACTTGGGGCATCTTAAGACTTCTCTTAAAAAGTTCATACAGCGTTTAGTTTCTACTTAAGGCCAAAATGACTATATGTGCTTTGTGACCCTCTATTGAAAACAAGAAAATTACAAAACCAATTCAAAACTAAACTGGAAAAGTGCTGTCTTAGTCGCAATTTCTTTCTAGTCTAGCCGAGACTATTTGTTTATGTTTACGAGATACAGTGCATAATTAGCGAATGAAAAAGCGGGCACATTTCACACACTACTTTACCCGGGAAATAAATTATTTGTGAAAATAAAAAAAAAAAGCTAGAAAAAACTTGAGAATACGAGATATGCGCCTCTAAGTTGGTATTTTTAGTTGGTCAACTGAGGTAAATGAGACACTATTCATTATGAACTTATTAGCTACTTGCTCAAAAATAACCGAATTGAAGTTAATAAAAAATAAGTAAGTAAGCATCAGTATGATGTTCGTAAGCACAGGTGTCCCTCATCCATTATCAAGATAGATATTGCGAGAACAGTTGTCTTTGACAATTAGTTTGTAGCACAATTAACGTTAACTTTTCACTTAATGATAAACTTAGCGTACCGATTAAATTCCAGCAATAAATTAACATAGTAGAGATCCGCTGTCGCTTTTCACGGTTGTCTTCCATTCGTCGATCAATATATTAATGAGTCGGTAATTAGAATATATAGTAAGCTGAAACGCAAGGTCTCAAGCATACGGAGACGCGTGCAAAAGACTCTTCTGTTCAAGCTTCTGCGAGATGTCTTCAGTGACCTCTGCTATACATAGTCTAGCGTTCTCATACGGAACTCTATCGGATAGTGTCGTTCAGTCGATGCAACTTGTGAGCCCTCCTATTCTTCCCAAGCATTTGCGACACCTTTTACCTTTACACCACCATCAGATGCAAATAAGCTTTTTCGAATGAAAATTTTGCTTAAATTTAGGCTTAGGCTTATCTCACGAGGCTGATCATATCTACTTCTGTTTCATATCAACACACGGACGCCAGAGACTATTGCTCGTGATAATTTTGTCTGGAAATTTTTCATTGTGAATGCAGGTTGCCCGGAACCGGGCGAGGCCCTAAAGGTCCAGGAAAAGCCGTGTTTCCTTGTTCTCTTTCCTCAGTTCATGGGATACCCAGACTCCTAGTTTTTGGGTAAATCCTATAGGTTTGAGATGTTGATCGTTATTTGCTTGCAAATTATGCCCTCACCCAATTTACTAGTTATTTGGCGGACGGCTTTCTTCTCTCGAAGATGCCTTCGGGCAATCGTTATTCAGCTCAGATGCCCGACCAAGACAGAACGCATTCTCCATTTCCAGGATGCTATCACTGAACTTTTGCAAACCAATTTTGAAATGCCTTCTCAACCATGCCATTCTTATCTTAGAAAAAATATCGCAGACTGTTTAGCCAGCTATTTCACGTCGACAAACGGGTAGGTAAATTAGGCGTCGGAAATGCACCTTCCGAAGTTCTTTCACCGGGGACATTTGTACGGTTCGTTAGTGCATGCAAAAATTTCATTCACTGCACAGTAAAATCACAACGGGATTATTAAAGAAAGAGCACTATTAAATAGTATACCTAAAAAAGGAAGCAGAAATGGGGTTAACAGCTGCATGTATGGTTGGCACACCATTTCCTAGGTCTGTGGGAAAAAAGTGCAGCAAGACCCACCCAGCGTACAGCTGAATCAACGCCCTTTACAAGTACATTCTAATAGTTCTCCGGCTTCGCTTCGATCATTAATGGACAAATCTCATATAGCTATCGCTACCGTGATACTGATTATTCACAAAGACCTTAGCTTAGTAAGAGCCGGACCAGATGTTCTCTAAGACCAGTAAAACTAGGACATTTCTAAGATGTCGTTTAATACTTAATTATCTAAAGCAGCAGACCTTCAATCTTCAACTGGTAAGAATCCAGAAGCAATCGCTGGCTTGTTCACGGTCTAGAGGGTGCAGTATTCTAAGTAAAGCCAATTAAGTCCTGTTAACTCAGTATCCAGTGAAGGAGGCCTCATGACACCGTGGATAGAGCTTAAACGTCTAGAAAAGGCTATACGGCTTTCAGTAAAATGGTTCGTATTAGCCGATTAGCACTAGTTCAGGTATTTGAGAATATGAGCGTCTAATTCATATGGTCACCGTAGAAACTGGATTGAAGCCCGTGAAGTTACGATGCATGAAGTACTATTAAGCTAAAAGTCTTAGCATGACAATGGCCATTTGCTCATTCGGATTTATCAAGGAGGCATTAGTACGAAAGGAACATTTGAAAGTAGTCTGTAGGCAGCGTGGGCTCTGACTCGAGGTAAGCCAAGATTATGTTGAACGAACGTGACGTATGAAGAATGACATTTTCAGCATGTGCAAAGGAATTGATTGAAACATTTCTCGTTATCTAGACACGATCTTTGAGACGAATTGCGAGGAACGTCCAGATCTAAGCTGACCATCCCGTAAACAGACGCTGAGCCATGCAATAGACGTCGGAGTCATCCGACTTTAAATTAACGAAGCTAGTAGAAGGAAACTCGACAGCTTTATATTTAAGTGGACATATAGCGAGCGCTGTATACTACTAATTAACCGTTAAATAAGATGAATGCACGGCTGCATTTCGCGACGGTATTTGTCTTGCACTGCACGATTCCTAGCCGTTAAAGCCTGGAGCTCGTAATGTTGAACCTTGCTTCGGTACATTGTTAAGTATAGTGATGACTTGCCTAGAATGGACAAACAAGGTTTACAGCAGTTGCCTATTACGCTAGAGACACTGATTTCTAGCTTCATACGATACGATACTCAAAACGATACGTTAATGGCTATTAAATTTAATTCATTCAGCCGGCGTTCCAAGTATTATTCACTGTTACATGAACTGTTTTAAAATAGTCAAGATTCACCTAACCTGTGCGATTTCCGAGTCATTGCCTAATTCCAAATTGCTATCCTTTAAGTCCGCCATTTATAAGCGATGTTATACGCTGCACCAAATCCGAATTAAAAGTTATAAAGTTACTTAACTACACAGTATTCTCTAGAATTAATTCCAATATAATAGGCACCATACTGTTAGCAACGAAACGCAAATCTGCGTCGATACGCATGACGACTCGGATTGATTTCTGAGCACATCTCTGCGAGCACTTTTTGCCTGCTGCGGCGGTTAACTCTGATGTTCTGTAGCATTACATTGCGGATTACATTGCGTCTGGCTTCAGGTTTCTTAGAGCTCAAGGGTTGATTGATTGATTGATTGATTGATTAATTACTATACTCCTGTTCAGAGCGAATACGGATCATAGTTGTAGCGGAAGAAATTCATATCTCACTTCTAAACCTGCAGACACACTGCCGCTACTGCCGCTTGGAACAGATGCACCACCGCTCCCGCCCAGTCGGAACACGGACACAGTTATCATCGACGAGCTTTTCGTGGTGGCTTTATTTCAGTTAGTGCCAAATTTGTTAGCATTGATAACAGTTTAGTCATAAAAGGTACCGGCACTCACACGAACATTGAATTATTGGCGATTAGCCTACGCCAACGAAGTCTAAAACGCGTAACGTCGAATGTCAAAGAAGTTGCGCGCCCTACTCGTTCGGTCCGCGCGCCGAGAGAAAGAGTACATTCAACACAGTGAGAAAGGGCCGTTGATCTTCCCTTTCTGAGGAGACCAACGTCACTAGGAACGCCGCATTTGTTCGGACATATGTCCTACTGCTAGTATACGTCCTATATAAGGACGATAGCCGCTTATCACTTGTTACGGCTTGCCCAGTTCATTTTAGAGCTGTTGGGACAGCTATTGCCTGCCCTCAACTTACAATAATTTAGCCCTTAAAGATCCGATAAAAATTTTGTCACCGTTCGACGAAACGCATTCTCGTACCGAATAAGAGCTACTCATTGATAAAGCCCTATAAAAGAACCTATTTTCTACAGCAACTCTGCAGCAGTTAAAAGTTTATTACTGCACATATGGATAACCCTTTTTTTTGTTTAAATCTTTTATTGGTAAAGGTAACCGAAACAAAATAAAACGATAAAATTTTTGCGGAATTACCACTAATGCCGCGTGTCATATAATTAAAGAATTTTGATCGTTTAGTTAACACACTTTAAATTAAATCTTTCTTTAGCCTTCACTCTCAAATGTGTAGTTCTTAATTTGATTTGCCGGTAAATAGATGGGGTAGAAACGCTTAAAATATAAGGGGTGCAACAAAACCTCTCATCCATGAAAGCAGCTTCGTTGATGTTCATCGTGTGTGGCCTCGAACTGTCATGATGCCTTGCCTCCCCTGAAGTCATTTATTCCGACGTTAAGGTAAACACACCGCTCCTTTTCATCGCCATCATAACACTTCTAGATTGATACTGGATTCAGAGACTACATGTGGTGACCCAGTTGCAAACTTCTGTGTAAACCTAATAGACTTAGATGAACAAAGAAGCTTGCAACAATTTCAACCGTCTTGTAGCCGCAGCGCCGTCTTTTCTATA